ACGCGATGGTTCGATACCGTTCTGGACGATGAGCGGAGATGCTGTGGCATCCAAGGAACAGCTTCGACTGGCTCCCTCCATGAGGAGTCGCAGAGGTAAGCTTTCTTCTACTACTGTGTGTCTCTCGTGTCTTATAGTTTTGGTATTTTCTAGGGATTTCAGAATTCCCTGCAATTTTTCTTTTGAGGACCAGTTGCCAAATGTCTTTGCCTGAACACCGTCACTTGCTGAGAAGACAGTTTATGCCTCGATCCTTTGGAACCATCCGAAACACAGTTAAAGTTTCATAGCACACACAGGTTGTCACTGCTAATGTGACGTCGAAGCAGGTCATAGGGATAAGCCTTGCTAGTGACCATTTATATCAGCGAGTGAGTAAAAAGCCAGGGGAAGGCAGAATCCTTTGTTTGATATATCTCTTCTGGTTTAGAAAGCGGGGTGGAATATCATTGCTGATGATAACTTTAGTCTTTGAACACTCATATTGCAGGGCTTGCGTGGAACAAGCGTTTTATGGGCGAATCGGAGCATTTCGAAATTCAAATGGCTTTCCGTGTAACAGGCCAGGGTCGTATCGGTGCTGATGGGATTGGTGTTTGGTATACAGCTCATCAACCTACACTTGGTCCTGTAAGTCGTCTTCAGTTTTTTTGAAGAGCACACATTTATTTGATATACTGGAATTTCGTGAAACGCTCCACTTTTCTTTTATCAGCGTAGCATAGATAATAATTAGCTTAACTAGATGCTTAACGACTCTTGTTGGTTTAGAAACAACCGCAGCCAGGTTTTCTAGCGCGGTGGGAGTTCACATCCTTTTTCCAGTGTTTGTGGATGTGCTGAGGTAATTATGCCTTTTTGCAAATATGCAAGTGCAAAAACACATACTGTGACGACATACAAGGTGTGAGTTTGTGTGTGTATGTGTGTGTGTGTGTTTGTGTCTGTCTGGGTATTTCAACTCGGCAACCAAGCAAGCTTCGGCGGTGGATTTTTACCAGTGGGTTCCCTGGCCAATTGCAATCCAGGATCGCACTGTCAACCTTCAGTCAGGTTTGACTCCGCATACGAGCATATGAAAATATTAATGGGAAACATTCCGTCAATTCGGGAACTAGAGGAGCTGAACGGCTGAAATTTTGACGGAATGTTTCCTATCCAAGTGTATCTTAAAAATTCGAAATCCAGCGCTTAAGTATGTGTGGTTCTCACGCAAGACATTAAAAAGTTTTGGCGGGGAAATTGCTCACTGGTCATTTTCGAGGAAACGACCGTAAAACAGAAGTTGTTTGTTTTCTTTTTTGCAAAAATTACGATGATTTACGCTGCTGGGCGCACAGGGTAAGTGTAAAGCAACAGTCATTCATACAGTTAACGACCTGATTGCTTCTCGTGTAGTGGAAAAACACATGATCGCGCCAGCAAATCTGATGCGTTCCAGTCTTGGGTTTTTGTAGGTGCTATTGTCATATGTAATTCCATTTCCATATCGCACTATCAACCTTCAGTCACGTTGGACCCTGCATACGAGCATATAAAAATTTTAACGGGAAACATTCCTTCAATTCGGGAACTAGAGGAGCTGAACGGCTGAAATTTTGCTGTTTGGCGAGAGTGTGGAATAAGAGATGAAAAATAAGCGAAAATCCAGTCGGCCGTGATAGCTGCGCAGTGTTATATGGACGTAAGATCGGGTGTGTTGGGAAGATCCACGTGAACAGTTGTGTAGAGTTGTGCGAATGAGAAGCCCAAAATAGAGGAAGAATGAAGTTACCAGCTACATCAATGATGGGAAGAAACGCGTAGAAGAAACTGAAGCTAATTAAAGTAAACATTGTCATATATGTTTCACAAGAGGCTAATATGTATAGGGTAAAAACTCTCGAACTGACAAATGTGCGTTATTCGTTTGCACTTCTAACTACTTGTTTCTTTGATATAATTCTTGAATTGTTTTCGGTGTTTGGTGCGAATGATTATTGGACAGGAATGGGACTGTTCCTCGATTCGTTTGATAACGATGCTCAGAAAAATAACCCTTTCATAGCGCTAATGATTAACGATGGCACAAGGCAGTACGATCATCAGACCGATGGCTCGCAG